TTAATGTTTTCTAATTAACAAAATTACAAAAATAAAAAACTAGTTTATATTAACAAATAACTATATAATTATATCTATAGCTAATTAAAATAATATAACAAAGGAGTGTGATGACTTAGTAAAGTAGTTAAGTTGTCAACCTTCCAAGTGGTAAGTTAAAAGTTCAAAACCTACTGATAGTGAAAATTTGAAAAACTATTTATATTATATTGGTATTACGAGAAATAAATAGTATTATAGCAACAGTACTCTATTGATCAGTTGGAATTAGTACTTGTAACATAGTTACACCAGATAACTAGCAGGTCATGGGGCATCTGCACAATGTTGAAGTTATAAAGAGGAATGCAAACCAACATTAGGTGATGAAAACCCAAGATAAGTTCTCATAGTCATATAAATCTGTAAACTGGAAAACTGAAGTCTACTTAGAAAGACCTGAATAGAGAGGTAGTACAAATCTTCATCAGTACTACTGTAAAGACTAGATCTAGGAAACAGATACCAATATAGAAGAAATCAGGTAGACAAAAACCTCAAATAAGAGGTACCACCAACCAGGCCATCAGAAGTCTTGAACCAGAAAAAAAGAACCTTAAAGTGCAGACCCTGAGATACCAGAGATAGGTCATAATTCTATTAAGTTATCTAAATTGGAAGTCTGAGGTCAGAAACAGAGATATAATATAAGTACTGGGGATATGCTATAAAGTTGATACTGAGATCTAAATGAACTCTACAAGGACAAACCTTGTTAACAAGATACTAAATGTGGGTAGTTAGTTAACAAAAGAGCCTTCTGAAGCCCTACAGTTAGGTGATGTACTCTGAAATGTGTAATAGCTTGATAAATGTACAGACAGGAAGGTCATATTTAGATTAGATGATACTTAGATATATAGGAACTTGTGCACTATTTGTCGGTATAAGTATAGAGATTAGAGTGTTTAAATAGGTAACTTTCTAGTAGATTGCAAGTATAATAGCTAGTGTAGAACCTGCTGTGTAGGTGGACTACTTAAAATAGACAACCAAAAGTTGTACATGTGGCTAGTTGTATACTCACCTTGTACAAGTTATGTAATCATAATTAAAATACAATAAAGGCAATAGCCACTAATAACTATGACCTTAGTGTAAGCAAAAAAAAAAAATAATAATAATATAACAAAATAAATAGTTTCAAATAATATACAAACTAGTATTATAAAAAACAACATTATCTATATAATCATTAAATAAGAGCTTGTTAATAGAAAAAGCATAAAAAGTTTTTAATAACTTTTTTTTAAATTTTAGATTAAAATATTTTAATAACTACTGTATCAAATTTAATATTTTTTTTATTTTTATTTTATAACTATATAGAAGCAAAATAAAAAAAAAGCATTAAATTTAGTTTAATAGTTGTTAAAATATTTTAATTTAAAATTTAAAAAACTTTTACTTAAAAAAAATCTATGCCTTTTCTATTGACTAGCTTCCATATATAACAATAACTCTTACATTAGATTCAAGTTACAAACAAGAATAATGATTATGGCATTACACAGAATATTTGAATTTAATAAAATTTTGAAATATTAATAAATTTGATTTTTTTATATCAGATATCATATCTACTAAATACAAATAAAACCCTCAAATTATATATTAAATTAAAGTTTTTTTAAAAAATATATATACCATTGACCATTGCCTACAATATCCCTCCAAAATTATTATCTTACCACATAAAGTATCCTCTTTTTCACCAATGAAATCAATAGGTTCGTGAATAGTACAAAATGAAGTTCTTTAATAAAACTTTGGTACTGTAGGCAGTGTCCAACGGTAATAATTCACAGAACACATACAAATTAAACAATTTTTACAAGTCACTGTTAGGTCATTCAAAATTATAATAATTAATTTTCATAACCCGGCCGGGTCAAACTTCGAAAACTTGTAAAAAAATTTTTTTTTATGTTTTAATAACTGGATAGGTTTTTAATAAAAATTTTATAAAATATTTATATATTAAAAAAAAAAGCCGGTTGGGTCTGTTTAAAAATTCAATGTTATATGAAAACCAAGAAATTAAATTTTGTGTAGTCTTATTTATAATTAAAAAAAAAAAGTTATCTATTGCCAAACTTTTTCACAAATCTAATAAAAACACTCAATATAGTATATAGTCTTTAAAAACTTTCTTTTTACTACAAAAATCCCCTACGTATAATTATTAGGAATTGTACTCAAATAGAAATTTGCTATTATATGGCCATACGTAGTAAATTACCGGGATAACACAAATGATAATGTCCGGGTACGCATACGTATTGTAAAAATTTATTAATACGTAATACTATTGATTTAAAATAATAATAATAAATAAAGTAATAATAATAATAGAAACAGTCCCAAGTTTAAATAAATATAAAGTTGGGGATTTTTTTTTTAAAATAGTTTTATTAAACATTATTAAACACAGATTACGTATGAACGGTCATGATGATCAAAATAAGATAAAGCTAAAAAACTTTTGAACCACGAGATAAGTGTAGCTGAATTAAATTCACGTACTTATGTACGTACTTACGCATGTATGTGCGTTTTCTTTTATCATTACGTATTTTTTTTCCTCTTACTGGTACATAAGTACATACGTACTTACGTACGTACATGCTTAGATATCAGAAATTTAGGTTTAGCCAAAAAAATGCAACCAAAAAAATCGCCCAATTAAAAAAGGAATTACTAATCATTTAGAAAGATGTAATAGATATGCTGCCGCTATCCTTAAAACCTATGGCGTTCAAGGGGCTATAATAAAATAAGTATTTGGCATATTTGTTGCATATGGAATCAATGCAGATCCAAGGCATTGCAGATTATTTAGTAAACTCAATCGTATCTTGAAAGTATTGTATGTTCCGTGCGACAATTTTGTTGAAACAATCCTAATCTTTTCGATTTTTTTTTTTAAAAAAAAGAGATGCATCGAACTTATCGTAATTACAGTAATTACGGTAATTGTAATTGGTTTTTTTTTTTAACAAGAATAATTTCTTCAAAAATAATTGAATTAAATGGATTATGACTAACGGTAAAAAAAAATAATTAAATATTCTTCATAATATTTTTTCCATGAACTAACCACACTTTTTAAAATATATTTTGATTAAGTATCTTCAAAGTTTTTTATGACGGTTAATCGGTGAAACCAATATCCGTTGAATTAAACTATGAATCTTATAGTAGTATTTAACGAAAAAAAAATATCTGGGAACTTTGTTATATTTCATATAAGATGCTCAGGAGTTTTGTGAATCATATTAATTAACCTAAAAGAGAATTAGTTTATTTAAACGTTCAATTAAAAATTTAAAATATTACTAAAAATATGTCAACTAATGAAAAAACATTTTTTTATTTGTAATAAATGCCTTTTTTTTTTTTTTTTGAGACTATTTTTAAAAAAGTTAAAACATTTATTTTGACAATAAAAAATATATATATAATGTATGTATATATAAGTATATGCATAATAAATATCATAATAATAATAATAAATAAATATAAATATTAAATAAAAAATAAATACTGTATAAGAATTGTATAAGATTACAAATAACACATTTTTTAATAATTGTAATTATTGTGTTATTTGCTTTTTTATTGCTTTATTAAAATTTTTTTGGGTCTAGTCGTTGTGTGATGCGATTTACAATTTTTTCTTTTATAAACAGTTTATTAACAATTCTCTAACACTAACACTATCCATTTTTCTAAAATAGATATCTTAATTCCATTATGCTCATCTGTCCAACGTATGCACACCCTTCCTGAATTTCATGGTACAAGACATTGGCCCACATGCAATGATAATCATTCATAATAAAATTATTATAAATTATTATAAAAAATCATTAATAACGTATAATGATAAGAAATACAAAGTAGTAGCAATCGTGGGCGTTTGTCTAATAATTTTAGGGGGATATGCATTTAAAACCAATAAAGTAACTAAGAAGAAGTAAAAAGATATGAACAAGCAAGATCAGTCCATTATTGTTCATTATGTAATTAGTTGTTTGAAAGGTTTCAGAATTTATGATTGATCTGACATATTTGTATATATCTGGTAAGATATGTTTATTATTTGAAAAAAAATGGAAATTTTTATTAAAAAAAAAAAAAATACGTAGAATTTTTATTTTGGCTCATTAAGGAATACAAAGTTTGTAATATCGCAACTATGAATTACTTAATGAATTGTGTGCACGAAAATATTGACACATCACATGATTCCAAAATCTCGCAACACTCAAAGTATCGAAATTAAATATGCAATTTTGAAAATATTATTATTTCATAATTCATTAATTTTTTAAAAAAACTAAACACGAAAATTTTAAATGTTTTGCGAAAAATGATTTAAATTAATTTTTTTTCTGAAAATACAAAGTTTTCAAATTTTGGTGGTATGGAAACAAGTTGCGTAATAAATAAAATTATTTTGCTCCAAAATGATTTTGATATACCAAATGAAAAGTAGTAGTTAAACAAAGGATTTTTTTTAAAAAAACAAAACAAATAAATAATGTAAGGAAGAGTTATATTTATAATCATAAAGATGATAATAATAATAACCAAAAAAAAATTAAATAATATGTAAAATTATATATATATATATAAATATAATGCAATAATAATAATAAAAAAAAAAAGGGAAAAGTGTACAACTAAGTAATACTAATTAGAATCGTAATAATATTTTTTTTCTTTTTTTTGGTTTTCTATTTCTAATATAATAAGATACACGTACAACCCAAAATCCTTTTGACCTCTAAACCATTATAGACAAGCAAATATTATTTTCCCATTTAACCCAAAAAAAATAAATACAACATAAGGATATATATACACCTAACAAAGCCAATTCCAAACTCTAGATCGTAGAATATAAACAAATTGGAGGCGGGATTTTCAAATTTAAGATGTTGTTGATACTGTATTTACAGCTTATCTTCTTCCATTTTACTCATTCGGTAATTCATGTTTAATTGGCTAAGATTTTTTCCTAATTCGGTTGTTGGAGTTGTGATATTTTTATTAGTTGATAATGGTTTTGAATTGTGTTCCGATTTATCGCTCTTCATTTGTGGTGAATGGTTATGATCCAAGGAACCATCTGGTCTTGTTGGACGTCCGTTCATATTATGTTGTTCGCTGTCAGAATGATAACCGCCGTGATGAGTAGATGCATTATTTGCAGGATGACTACCGTTGTACATATGGAATCCCTCAACATACTCTTGTGAATGATAAGCGGGCGAGGTTAGTGGATGATCTGGAATTTCAGAAGAAGGAGGGATTTCGATCTTCATAAATGGTTTGCTACCTTGTGAAGCGTTTGAACCAGCTACCGTCGTTGGAATTTGACGAGATTCGAAATTCGAAAATGCTGAATGTGGTCCAGATGTTGCAGTAACTAATAACATCAAAAGTATAAGGTCAATAATTAATGATATGATTATGTAAATCAAAAATTCAATTATATAAAATTATATAAATTATATAAAATTATATAAAGTTATATAAAATTATATAAAATTATATAAAACTATTAAATTATTAATATAATTACCTCCATCCATATGCATTTCATGCAATTTTGGGTCATGAGAACTATTAACAATAGTTGGATCCATATTTGCATTACTATACATTTCTTGATTTTGGTTATCATTATCAGTAACACTTTGTACCATATATTGTTGATGAGGATGTTGAGGATGAAATTGAGGAGCTTGACCATTTGAACCCATCATCAATAAAGCATCATTCCTTATTGGCCCCCCATTCACTGGGGGGTAACCTGAAAAGGGCTGGTATTGACTATATGGTCCTGGAAAAGGAGCACCATTAAAATCTGGTGGCATCATAGGAGCACCATTTGGTCCTTGAGGATGAGGGAATCCCATGTGACGATCATTTGGGAAAGTTGGATTTATACCCATTGGATTATAACGATCATGATTATCAGCATAATGACCAGGACTACGACCACGTACGACCAAGGGAGCAGAAGTTGAAGTAGCAACCCTGTATTCACCATTTTCAGTTTGAGCATAAAGATCGACCATTACTACATAATATTGTTGGGCAGCTCGACGTTTTCCATTATTAGCAGTAGCAGTCTTGAATTGAATACGTTCAAAAGTTACAATATTTGAGTTAGAACCAACAGAACTAAGACTCAAATTTCCACCAGCACGAATTGGTTTTGGAACGGGAACCATTTGAGGACCTTTGTCTCGTTTTGGAGTGTGCTGTACAAGTTCAATTTTCTTGTCGCTATTAGAGACACGAGCAGTGATTCCCAATAAGTATTGATTAACAGAATGGAATTGTCCATCAACTTCAATTAAGCATGGTACATCAGCTTCATTAATATTGTGTGTTGTACCAGAGATGGAAAATGCACTGCTTATTTGAAAGTAATTCCGTCGGTAACACGTCCAGTCGTTATCAGCCAAGAAGAAACCACGGTCTACTTTTGAATTTATACGAAGTTTATAACTAATAAAAGGTTAAATAAAAATAAATCAATAAATAAATTAAGTGATATGTAAATAAATATTGCAAGTTTAATATACATATGTTTCAATAATTTTTGATAATATGCTTTACATACCTTAAAGATCTATCCACACTATAAATGCTATAATGTTGTTGAGTTGGTGAGAAGAATGGACCAGAGTCTTGTGCGAAACCTAACACATCAGTCCTACGTTTCCTAGCAGCACCAGTTTGGAAAGGTGTAGCGTGAAACGTGGTTGTGAAAGTAGGTCGATTATCCAAGACTTTACGATCTGAAGCGGGGTTTGATGAATTATTGTTTGAAGGATTAGTTGGAGAATTAGCTTGTCGAGCCGCTGAAGGATTTTGTGGAGGCATTGGTACAAAGCTACGAATATAATGCGTCAACATATTGATGGTTAGTGGATAGTTCAAAATGATTGATGATAAGTGCTATCAAGAATTATCAAAAGAATTATCAAGAGGATAATCAAGAGGATAATCAAGAGGATTATCAAGAGAATTATCAAGAGAATTATGTACAAGAATATAATTGATATTCATTCAACATGAAAGTAATAAGTAAAGATTAAAGGAAGAGACCATGTGTAAGGTGACACGCGGTGGGAAGAAACATCAACTTGCATAACCAAACCAGTTTGTACCAAGGTACAAAATGAAACGCGAGCAATAAGTCCAAAAAAAAGTGCGCGATAAAAAGACGTATAAGACGAATTTTTTTAAATTTTTTTTTTATAATAAACGTGTTCCAACTTACATTTGTTGATGTGTAGCTTGACCGTCATATGAAAAGGGTTGCATAAAGTTTTCCGTAGGCATACTGTTCATTTGTGGGGACATTACGGGATGTGGATGGTGAGGAGAAGGGGGGACCTGAGATTGCTGTTGAATAGACCACTTGTCTTCAGTAATATTCATAGTATTGCTAAAAAGTTGCGTAGAATACGTTTTCGTATAATGTTATATTGGTTTATTGAGAATACTTGTAATAGAGATGAGCAGAAGGTATCCCCAGAGCTGGTTTTACACGAATATTTATGAATATTTGACGAAATATTTGACGAAATATTTGACGAAATATTTGACGAAATATTTGACGAATATTTAACAAATATTGGTTGGACAAAAAAATTTCAAGGAAAAAAAAAAATTGAATTCAATTAAAAATCAATTTTTTTTTTTAGATATTAAAAAAAGGAAATTAAAATGAAATAGAAAAAGCATACATATATATATTCTCGAGAAAATCGGCTCACAAATTAATTAAATATTTTTTATCGCTTGAATTATTATTTACTCTAATAAAAGAAGATAGAATAGTTTGTACTTGGATCCCTTGGAGAGCAGGAAAAAGTAGTGAAATGGACAATACTTACTTTGTAGGTGCACAGTTGACCTTTTTTGCTCAAGAACTCTGGAGAGATGTTTTGACAAAAAAAAAAAAAGTCCGAGCGTAATCTCAGACTATATATTATTATTGTAAAGGTAAAAAGAATAACCAATCAAAATTAAAAAAAATCTATACAATACAGATATATATATTTTTTTTTAATAAATTCGAAAGTTACCAGTTAAGGTTTTAATTGGTCACGCAGGAAATCCCTTAATTTCTCAAATCAAGTTCCGACATCCGAACAAGTATTGCATAGATGCACAATATATAAAAAAAAAGACCGACGATTAATGCTTTGAATGGTAGAATGCATATCTGCGTGACCAACTGCACTACAAAAGAAAACCTTCTTTTGATTTAATTAAAAACGGTAAAATATTGGAGCCTGTACAAATGCATGCAAACTATATGTATACTATACGTATATTATGTATACTATATGTATAAAAAAAGTGTAGATAGCATCATATTAGTTGTGGAACGATTTGTGGTTGTTTATTTAACTTATTCAACGAAACATTCATTTAATTTCTGTCGTTATACAAGAGGAAAGTAATACAAAAACATAGAGATGCAATATGCACTTTACAAAGTATAAATATTATTCTATTTATATTAACTTTAATATATAAATTATATAATTTTCTCTATTTTATTCAGAATAATTCATAATAATTCATAATAATCATAATAATCATAATAAATGCGCACTATATTAGATACCTATGTAACTAAATATGCTGCTCATTCCTATGCACCAAATTTAGTCAGGCGCAGGTGGTATGAAAATCGAATAATCTTTTAAACTATATACACTTTAGAATGCCACTTATTGGTTTCTTTTTAGATGGGTGCGAGAAAAATTTTTTGAATTAGGGTCTAAAAAATGGGCTGTTTAAAAATAATCCAATTTTAGATTATCATTAAGCAAGATTCAGCCGAAATTCATCACTTCTTTGTGGTAAGTGACAATTAAGAAAATATGATGACCATTACCAAATTATACTAGATGACACTAAAGATCACCGGGTGCATGATATTCACTGCTAAATGCAACCATTTAGTCTTTTATACATTACCGCCGCATAAATAACTAATAGTATACAATAACATGAATATTAATTCACAAATGTATATTCACAAATATGTTGGTGTTTCAAATCTCGAAACACACAAAGATGCTTTCCAAAAAAAATATGCTCGACTCTTTCTTTATACGTACAAAAAGTCAAGTCAACTTTGTGAACACGTGGTTCCGGGATGGCTACAAGATCTCCGGCAATATCGAGTGGATCGTGCTGGTGCAGATTTGCACAAGAATTGTGTAAGAAACCAAATTACGAATTTAAAATTTTACTTAATTTAGTCCAAAGGGTTACAAGGATTGTGTTATAGATGTCAAGCAGAAAGGGCAAGTTTCAATTTCTCAAGGAAAAAAATACCTATTTTTAGAGAACTTAAATTTATTTAGTTAGTGAAACGATCGATCAAGTTTCTAAGTAGACTAAGTAGAAGAGATCAAACCTACGAGTATTGTTAACGCATTATTAACGCATTATTAATGCATTCTTAACGCATTCTTGACGCATTCTTGACGTATTCTTGACGCATATTATTATAACATATAACATATCATAACATATTATAACATGTTATAACATGTTATAACATGTTATAAAATGTTATAACATGTTATAACATATTATTAAAAAAATGTTTCTAAATTCTCTCGCATACCGATACACACAGTATCTATTCCTTTCATTGAGCATTGAGCATGTGATCACCGTCACGCGCGGTAACATACCGCGACGAATGTGAACATAAACGAATGCAGGGATTAATCTCGTAATAAAAATGGTTGAGTAATTTTAAAATAAATTTTTTCTCACTAAATTAATTCATTCCCTGAGTCATTGTCAATAATGATTGGTTACAAAAATCGATCTTATGTCGTGATGCATATACTTGAGATTCATCAAAATTGTGCGCCAACTTTCAATGAAGGTAACAGTACACAACCATTGTTAATGATTTGACTGCTCGGCAGGGGTTTTAAACTGCTTGGTGCCCGGATGTGCAGTCACAAAATTAAAGTGTGGGGATTTGTGTTTCTTGAATTTGTTTTTTTTTTATTTCACTTTCCCTTATTCATATTATTTTCCCTTATTCAAATTATTTAAAAATTTTCTTGCCTTTTTTCTTTTTCTTTTGTTCTATTAATGTCTGTAAATAAAATTTCCTAAAGATAAACTTTTGTTTTCTTGTTTCGTCCACGAGTACATGGTACAGTTGATGTCGACAATATAATTATTATACATATGCTGTACGCCCACACGACGCTGCACATGAAACTTGATAATGACTGTCATTTTCCTATTATGGTGGTAATTAAGAATTATAGTTTAAAAATTGTTAAACAAATTCTCATTTAGTTCAAATTAAATTCCATATTTTTCAATAAACGATTTTAATAAGTGATAAGGATGATGATTGATAAAATGTAGCCTTAATCTCAAATTGACGAATCAAGATCGATTATTATATAGAATTAAATATAGAAAAGAAAAAAAGAAGCGCCAGTCCATTAAGAGAGAATAAATCAATAAATCATCTCATTTCTTTTTCCGTCTTTGCAATACAAACAATCATCAATCCAAATTCTGTTGTAAAATCTAGTCGATCCACCTCTTTGAGCTGTTCATTATTAGGTTGGCTGATATATCGTAACACGAAAATATGATTTTATTTGCTAATATTCCTAATGTTTTAATATTTTAGTCCATCTTAAATGTTCAATTGCAAATCTAATATTCATTTGAATTTAAATTCCCATCCCAATGACGATAAAGTTCTTGTTATTTTTTTAGTTGTCCATTCTAACAAACCAAATCATTGATAATAACGAATTTTTTTATTATTATTTACAAATAACAATACCTCTTTTAAATCCTTGTGTCCTCATATTATTAAATGTTTTGTTGTTTATTGGTGTCCTTACGATAAATTTTTAGAAATTTCATTTACTTACTTTTACTTATTTAATAGGCTGACAAAAAAAAAAAAATCTTCAAAATTCCGTGCTATATTAGCATAATATTAAATTTTAAAGTTTTTAACTTTATGTCCATACAAAGTTAATTAATTACTTTCTTATCGTTATTTTGAAAGTTGTTTTGCAAACCAGACTTTTACGATTTTTTTTTTTTTTTTTTAAAAAAAAAAAAAAGCCTGCCAGTTTTTTTTTTTTTTAATATGACTTACCCTGGTTAGAGAACATGGTTAAAGAATAAACCGGTTAACTTCGGATGGACTGAATGAACTAAAGCTAGCTTTTAAAATTTTATGTACATACGTTTTAGTCTAGAGAATATATCGAATATATCGATGGTTATATCTGTATGTCAATAAATACATAACCTAGAATTAGAATTCTATTTACACTCAGGTTAAAGTCGCCCGATAAAATATAGTGTTGCACGTGACTTGGTTAGTAGACTTTAACCCGGGTTAAAATAAAACTACCGTTATATGTTTGCAATATAATTTAATATATCGTAATAATATACTATATAAATATAATATATAACGGCGAAACTGTTTTATTTTGTTAAGCTTCTTATAGCTAGATTTTATAATTAAAGTTTTTAAATTATAATTTTATAAAATTAAACTTTTAAAACGAAAGTCGCAGAGTTAAACTTTTCTACTCCATATATTGATACAGTGCTACATTTTTAATTTATATCTTGATTAGTAACAGATTACACATGTTCTTTTTGGCATTTTGAAAGTTACGTATAAAAGAATCTATATAGACATCTTGTGGACCTATGTTGTAGTAGCATCCGCTCAAAAAATGGCAACTAAGAAATTCGAGCCAATTATTCGGCCTAGATTGATTGACATTGGCCTGCATTGATTTATTTCGAGATAATAAAACCAGAGATGGATATGTAGAACCTGATGAGTACGTAGGACCTAATATATCTATTTATTACTGTTTTTAAATTTTTTTTTCTTCTTGTTATTTAGTAATAGGTAAAGCATTATTACTAGGATTTTTCGATTGTTTAAATATAAAGTTAGCTGTTAACATGATCTTACGGGACTGTAGATTTTTGAATAAAAATAAAAATTTCTAGTTATCCAGTAATCCAATTCAAATAAACTCTTTTATTTTGTAAAGTTTAGTGAATTCTACAAAATAAAAAAAAGTTTATTTGAATTGGATTACTGAATGGTCAATTTTACTTTGTATTTATAAAATCTATATAGTTTCATAAGGTCATTTTCAGGACACAGATTCTATATATTTATTTACTCTGTTTATTCCTTCTAGATGTTTCTTCTATTGCTTACTAACAAGCAGGTTTGCTTTTAAATCTTTTTTTTTTATTAAAAATTTATTTGTTCAAAAGTTTTTGTAATTGATCAAGTTTTTTGTTATAAAAAATTATTTCTTATTTAAGATGTTTGTTTCTACTAAGTATATTATATTTTTTTAAAAAAAAAGTTTGGCAGC